CGCTATGTATATGTGCATGCCTGAGTGTGTGTACCTGTCGGCCAGGTGGGTTGGCTGGTGTGTGAAAGGGCTTGATGGGTGTGGAGGTCGACGTGGAAACAGGTCTTGTGTTCCCGTTTGTCAGGCTGGTGGAGGTCTTGGTTGCCATGACAGTGCTGCTGTGCGTTGCAGAAGAAGCCGAAGATGAAGGAGAGGAGAGGAGTGGCGAGGTGGTGCTGGCTACAACAGCAGAGGAAGAGGAGGAGGAGGAGGAGGTAGGAGGGAGAAAAGAGGAGGAGGTGGAGGACGAAGATGTTTTGGAGACACCTGCCGGGGAGGGAAGGATCGGGCGAGAGTACGTGCGGAGGGCGGGGATGGCCGTGGAGGTGAGTTTAGGTGGAGCGGGGACGAGGATGTGTGGAGACGGAGCCGACGCTGCCTTTGGGATGTGAGTTGCGGTGATGGAGGGAGCAGGGGTGAGAGGGGGAGGAGGAGAGGAGGTGGTTGGCGTCAGCATAGGAGTGGGGCAGTCCAGGAGCATTGGGTTGGGGGTTAGGCGGGGAGGGGTGGGCGTTGTTGGGGTGGAGGGGTCAGCCGTGGTGGAGGATGTCGAAAGGCTGGTTCCATTTGTGGCCTCGCAGTGTTCTGATTGGTTCTGACGAAGTGGCTCCCGGTCCATCGTTCAACACTGTAGCAAACTGGAAGAAACAGAGAAATCAAAACATTACATTTTTAATATGTTTTTTGATGCAACAACAATATTGTCTGTCGAGAGGGGCTTCAATTAAAATATATCAAATATAAAATAAAATAAAAAACTATTCTGAAAATAATAATCCAATCTTTTCCTCCCAGTCCAATCAAATCTTTTCCTCGTTCAACTCAACTGTGTAAAAAATGGACAACAAAAGCCCTCTCAAAGTGAAGCCAAAACATCTGCAGCTCCCCCTACTCACTGGCCTGCAGTAAAGGCCATGAGCGCAGACTCCTCCATGGTAACAGATGGGACACGGTCATACTATGAAATCAAAATACAGGGGGTCTCCGGTGTCCTGGTGCGCACGCCCCATGCATGGAGGCTGTGGCCTTCAGTGCAGCATGCCCGGGTTCGAATCTGACCTGTGGCTCCTTTCCTGCATGTAATTTTTTTTAACTCTCTTTGTCCACTCCCCTTTTTCTAAAATAAAGGCATAAAAAGCACCAAAAAATACATCTTTATTTAAATACAGGCCGAATTATTTTTCTCAAAAATAGTTTCCGTCTTTGAAGTAAGATTTATGGCCATGTATTTATTTTTCGAACAAGTTAAGCTTTGATTAGTTATCTGATGCTGAAACATCGCGATTGACAGCTCTGTTGAAAAATGATGCCCCCTGCGTGGCTGAGTGCACTGGATCATCAGAGTGGAGGTGGAACGGTGAGAGGAAACGTTTCAAACACTAACACAAGAGTCATTGAACCTTGTCTGCTTCGAACCTACACAAGAATCTGTTCTGCTGTGCACTGCACCCACCTGAGCGACCTTTGACCTTTTGTCTGTAAGTTTAAAGTTTGTTTTGGGTAGCGGGAGGGAGGGGATGCCTACACTGCATCTCCAACAGCCGTATCGTATCCTGCACAATATGTCAGTGCCTGTCTCGGGGGTATTTCGGATCATATTTTTACAATGGGAGGAGATGGAGGCAAGCCGTCCATCTTTATATACAGTCCTGACATGAGGACACAGTGACCTTGAATTTTGACCAACAAAAATCTAATTTATCAAAGCTAACCGTCACAGTGCTATCAACCTGTCCTAGCAGCAATCAAGTTTCCAACTATAGCGTCACATTCAGGGAGGAAACGGACACATCAGTCCTCTTCATGTTTACAATTTATCTGGTTTGGTGTTTCCTGTTTGGAAAGTATACACAGGTAGACCTGGCTGTGAACCCACAACTGCCAGTATGCAAATCCATCGCTCTCAACAATAAGCCACCAAATTTCTTCAGACCCCACCTCCCGTCTGTTATCAATCAACTACTTCAGCACTCTCGGGTCTGCCTCATAGAGCCGTACAGTTAAACACCTGTGCAGTCTTGTTTTATCATCTTCTGTGTGGAATCGACAAAGTCAATGTGGGTAATTTTGAAAACTGATCAGTTTATTTCAACCTGTTTTCTATGTGTAATATTCTGACTTAGAATATTCAAGGCATTAATTACAGTATTTTCAAGAGCCAAGACTAAAAGCCTGTGACATAATTGAAGTACTGTAGTTGTTTTTGTTTTGTTTTATCACAACTCCAGGACGAGCAAAACACTGAGCGAAGAAAGTTCAGAGAGGCTTTTATGACCAACTTCAGCCAAACAACGAGATGGCTTTTGTGCTGCAAAACTCAACAATTCTCTTTTGATTTTATTCAACAGTGGATGTCTCAAGCCAAAGCGATCCCCTTTGAAAATTCGGTTTATATATGGCATAGAAAAACCTTGAAAAAAAATACATGCAGAGAAGGACAAAGATTTAAGAGGATGATAAAAGCTCCCGCACACGTTCTCACTTTATGCTGCCATATTTATTGAATCACACAATGTTCGGTAAATATAAAGCATTAAACTGCTCTTTGTCAGGTAGATGGGCAGTAGAGCAGTAGAGCGGGTCCTAATCCCCTTTTTCTAAATGGTTAAACCAAAATGTTTATCATTTAGCTGTGGAGTATTTTTCAAATAAGTCAGGGGAACCTTTACATTTAAAGACCATACCACAGACAGTACGTGGTTCTCTGCAGACTGACACACGACACCATCACTATCAATTTCAGCTGTGTTTTGCATTAGAGCCATGGCAGCGTTGGCGTGACCTGACACAGCAGAGACAAGCGAAAATCATCCCACAGGGACTTACAAGAGTGAGTGTTCTGCTCACCTCTGAGTTTATGATGATAGTAGACTTTATTTATATCTCCTGAAGCCAGAAACCACCAATTATTATCATTAATCAATGACATGCCAAGCTTTGTTATGACAGATCAACAGGTTGAATTATAAATATACACAATGATGTTGATTGCAAAGCTTATTATAAAAAAAAACAACATTATTCTGCACATAGGGCAAATCATTCATTTCATCTCAGAGTTCTTGTGGGGTTTTTCTAACTATCACAAACCACAAACAGTAATATGATTAGTTATTGTCTGAGAGTGAGAGTTTTTATCTTTAGGTATTATCACTATAATCTTCTATTTCACAGACATTGTTGCAAAACAGTTGGCATGTTTTTCCATCATTTTTGAACATTTATTTTTCATCCAATGAAAAGTCAGTTCATCAAGAATACATTTTCCCACATATCTTGTAAATTAATGCTGCAATTTTTCAATAACTTTCATTCTCAGTCCGATATTCTTTTTTTAAAAGTAAGGCTCACATAAGTGGAATTAATGCCACTTATTCTTGCAGTAAATTGATTGTTTTTCAAATGATAATTTAACACGCTCCAAAAGCCCATGATGACTTTTTCCAACTGCCTAGTTATGTCTGATCAGCTATCTCGTGTTTGAATATGTTCATCACATTTCGTAGACATCTTTTATTCATAATTTGTACACGTTTAGACTGTTTAGAACCTTATTTTAGTACGCTTGATGTCTTGTTTTTACAATATGTGCCTAAATGTTGTTATGTGACTTGATTGTGGTGTGGCTGGTATAACTGTGTAATTTCCTGAAAAGGATTAATGAAGTGTATCTCTCGAGAAAAAGATGATAAAATCACAATTCATCACATCTGATCAACGAAACTTTGAAGCGTCTGCTTAAAGAAACCTCTGTGATTAGCAAGAAAAATGCTTCCCAACTATTTCTGTGCATCACCTCGAGGATAAATACACCAACTGTGTCAGCTGTGAATCTATGTGTACAGATTTGTCAAGTCATGATCAACAGAAAATGAGTGCAAGGGTCCCAATGCGTTTAGAGGACTACTCATATGTCACTAATTCACATGAGGTGATCTTAACGGTGGATCCAGCTGGTTTGAATTTGTATTGATAATGTGTTTCTGCAGGCTGAATTTTAGCTAATTTCACGCAACACCACCACGCAAGCAGGTGCCACTCCACGCACAGCGGGCTGATGCTGACATCTGGCCCGCAGCCTGTAACCTGTGCTAACCAGCGTCCCCACATTCATGCAGCCCCAAACTATGACAGCAATGAGTCATTGTGCATGTCGGTGACAGTTAGGCCAGAGATCATGCATGTGACTATCAAAAAAAAAAAAAAAAAAAAAAAAAGATGGAGACAGGCCTCACAGTGGAGAAGTCTTACGATAAAAACATTTGGGCAAACTGTCATGTCCCCGCGCTGCGTAAAGCTCTTTCCGTCACCTACCGCCTGATGTCCGCGTCGTCCTGTAGCTTATTCCCGGTTACGTCCATCCGAGGGAGAACGCATGTTTATAAAGTCTGTTGCTGTTATCTGATGAACGGCTCTGAGCTTCGACAGGCAGAAATGGGCGTGTTTGAAGCCTCACTTCCTCGTCTGACAGCGCAGGAGCTGCTGAGGAGTGCGCGTCACGCTCCCCCGGATAATAATCTCAGGAGCCTCACCTCTGATTATGTGCGTTTATCCCCCCGCAGAGAGGCAAAAACGCAAAGTTACAATGCCAGACAGGCCCTTGTGATGTGCATGGGCTTGTGTGTGTTGTGTGTGTGTGTGCGTGTGTGTGTGTGTCGCACTTTGATTATGGTCTCAGCACAGCTCGGGGCTTTTCCCGCGGAGCTGTCCGTAAATCCAGCATCCGGAGCGGTTACGTTTGCCAGCCAGTTCCCCGGTGAAGCTCCAGAGTCACACCTGCCGGGTCTGCGTGGGGAATCGGCCCGGCTCGGGGCCCCAGTGTAGCGGCTGCGAGGGGCCTGGTTAGTCCGCTGGTGGAGAAACGCAATGGAAGGCAGATTTCACAGAGAGGAAGATGCGAGACAGCACCACTCAGAGCTCAGGAGGACCGAGAGGACTCACACGCACACTGCCAGGCTGCAGCATGCACATTATACCAGGTTAAGCACTGGAATAACACGGTTTATTCATGTACTGAGTGAACGAAGTATTCAGATTAGAGTCCTGCATGAACGTTTGAATTATTGAAAATGACAAAGTAGGGGAGACTGGGGCCAGTGCAACAGTTTTGTAATACACTTAGCTACTCAGGGACTACATTCACTGAGCAATTAAAATGAAACTAAATTCTGTCCGCTAATTAACCAAACCATTTAAAGATGATGAAATATAATCTATACTGTTTATTATTAATGTAGAACTCACTTATCCAAACCCTGAGCACAGGTGTAACAGGACAGACCAGGGACAGATACAATAATAGATAAAATATAAAAGAACTTCATTTTCAATTAATAATAATAAAGTTTATGTGACATAACACCTTTAACAGAATGAGGTCACAAAACCATATACCATTACATTAATAACAACAATAAAAATCATAATGGATTAACAAAGAAGAAAGAAAACAACCTTTGTAAGAAAAGTGAGTGCAGACGAAGAGAGTTTCATATTTTTACAAATAAAATAAATAAAATACAGGCAGGCTACTTTGATGTAACACATCCAGATAAATATTTTGTATTATTTAAATGTGACACAGGAAGGCTTTGACAATTAGTTATGGAACAATCTCTAATTAAACGTTTATTTATTGTCAAAATTCACTCATGTTGACCATAACAACATGTTGGTTGACAACGAGATGCTTAACAATGTGACTTTGAAGTCGACCAAAAATTAATTGAACAAAATAAGTTTTGATTATTTAATGATAAAAAGTTTAGGACAATATAACAATAAAACGTTTACATCTCCAAAATAACTGTTAAATTTCCTCCGATAAATTTAGCTTCAGAGGCTGAGTTATTCTGATACTGGACATACAAATACAAGTTTCCTCTCTCATAAGAGTTTTATTTAGTAGGCCTATGTGGTTTTTTTATGCTTCTAAATTCGGTGCGGTCATGTGACCTGAATTGAGTAGCGTGTTAGTGGTTAGTAATCGGATGAGGCTCTGTGATTGGTCGGTCAGACTGACTTAACTTTATGAGCCTCGGAAACCTAATGACAACAAATACGGTGCTGCGTCACTTACTTTAATCTGCATCAAACTCAATACATACACACACACACACACACACACACACACACACACACACACACACACACACACACACACACACACACACACACACACACACACACACACACAGGGAACAGGAGGGCTTGCCTTCAAAATAAGATGAAGATTTGCTAAAGGACTGCAGCACAAAGCAAAACAAATAAATACAAACACTAGGAGAAGGGGAAAAAAAATGATTAATGCGTCAACTCAAAATTTAAAGCACTACAAGAATAACATATGTCACATTGAAATGCAAAGAAACTTGTACCAGCATAGCAACACGTCCCAAATAGATATACGAAGTTTACAAGACAAATAGCCAATTAAGCTTTTTTCATACATGCACTTGTGAAAATTTCTGGAGAATTTCAGGACAGGCTGCCCCTGAATTGTCCTGACCTCACAGCAGGAGACGCACCAAGGACATTGGTGTGTCAGGGCCTTTAGACAGGAGGAGGGAAATCAGGAGGCAGGATCTGAAAATGACAACGCAGAACTGGCAGAGAAAGCAAAAGTGTCTGACACTGAAATGCCTTTTTATCAGTGTGTAACTGGACATCCTCTCAGTATACAATAAGGAGTGAGAAAATATTGACAAGCATAAAGAGAGTATAAAGCTGCTTTTATATATGCACGACAGTCACCGTGTTATGTAAGTGTAATCAACCCTCTTACTTCACAGCAAAATTTGACTAGGAGGTTGGCCGGAAATTCAGGTAATGCAGGTAAAATTGTGGTGAATCATTTTTTGTCATTTGCGTTGAGTTTTGTGCATGTGAACACACCAACATTTTTTCCAACAAGATTTCATGTGGGGCCCAAAACACCTATGGGCTAAGTTAGTCCTTTTTTTGGGTGGGGGATGGTTGCAAAAATAACTCAATAAATTGTCTAATTGTACCCTTTTGTTTTTTTGTTTAAAGTGTGTCCTTTCCTGTTCTCTTTGCTTGTCAGTAACATATGTTTTCAGGCCTTTATTTTGAAAACCACGTACCGGAAACCCTTCCCAGGTATAATTGACTTGACCACAGTTGCTAGGGTACAAACTGCCCCATGGCAACGGAACCACTCAGAGGAAGAGTTGAGATTTTAATATTTTTTATTCTTTAATTGTCACACAAAAAAAAAAAAAAAATGACGGATTTCTTTCAGGAAACAGAAGCGTTACCTTGAATTCAAGAATGCCAGCCACAAAAGTAATCAAGCAATCCCGGGTGGAGGCCTCGAGAAAAACCGTCGAGCGAACTAAACCGGTGAAGGTGAAGGCGGTTAACGGAGCTCAGCTGGAACTCAGAGTGCCCTCGGTGCGTAAAAGCCGCGCGTCAAGCTGCCCCAGGTGTCCGCAGCGGGACAGGTGTGAGGAGGGGAGCACCGGAGTGATGCGCACGGCCCTCAAACCGGGCTGTGAAAGGAGATCCAGGTCCAGCTCCACCGCTCACAGAAACAACCCGGACTGTCGGAAGGCGCAGAGGAGTGCCAATGTGAACCAAAAATGCCAGAAGATGGGCGCGTGTCAGAGGGAGCAGCGGGCAGTCAGGGTGGAGGCTAAACATGCTATTCAAAGGTGAGATGGAACAGTACAGGTGTGTGGTTGTGTTATTAAAGTTAATATAAGGCTATATGTGGCAGGAACTTGCTCGTACTTCTGCTTCAAATTTAAATGGATTCAGAGGATTCAAGCTCCTGTGAAGCGTTTTTAACTTGTTAAAAAACTTAATACTGATGACTCTTTATAACCCATTCAAAATGTTTAGCAGATTATTTCTACATTCTGTTGTTTAATGCCTGCAGAGGATTATTATGAAGCTTTTTTTTTAAATTTGTTTTATTTTACAGGGGACAGTGCATATTATTGAACATTTCTGTAAATGTGCCAGGGTTAGACAAAAGACTAGTTTCCATCCGAATTTCCTGGCCAGATTTTAGGACAGGCTCCCTAAGAAGCAAGAAAGGAAAAAAACACAGAACTTGGGGTTCAAGCAACACCTTGCAATGAAACATTGCCAAAAAGAGAAATAACATGACAGGATTAGAGCAAGCACGTTATCACAGGAATAAAATACATGAAGCATGCAAGACAAGCGAGAAGTATTAAACTAACATTCAAAAATACAATATTTAACAGGTATTAGTAAAAGCCTAAATGCAGTAACCTTAAACAATAAAACAAGCAACATATGCAATTCATGTGAGGAAACATATGAAACAGAGTGAGCTAAGCGCAACAACTTAAACCAGCGACAGTAAAACAGGAGGAATTCACAGACAACCAGACACAAGGTGGTTTTTGTAACTCTTTTGATGTCAATCAGAAAATGATAAGGAGGAATTTATTTGAACTGTTTATTGCAGGAACTTGCACTTCACATGTCAGAAAAAGGCATATTTTGACTTGTATGTGGTCTGCAGAAGAACAATGCCTGTCAGGTATGTGTCAGACAAGATGAATGATTGACATCTCACTAAAGAAAGTGACAGTTTATACATTTTCCACAACAAATATTCACAATGAGTGACACGTTTAACTTTACAATAAAGCAGGATGATATTTTGAGTAGAAAACACTATTTACACACAGGACAAAAACAGCATAGATTATGGAGGTAAGGCTTTGTCAAAAGGGGGCGCCAAATTCCACATAAACTAAAAGTTCCTCACAGGAGCTTTAAGTTTATTTTTTGTCAATTTTTTCCCCGAATAATCAGTAAAACCTCAAACAGTTTTGTTTAACTTTTCTTACTTGGATAACTTGTGAGAGGTATTTTTGAGCTAAAGCTGTGGGAATAACTTTGACAGAAAGTAAAATAATCATTTTTCTTCCTTTTACGATTCTGTCTTTGGTCAATTCATTTTTTTAATGTCTGTTTAAAGATATGTTTTTATACAACATTTCTGCTTTGTTAGGCCAGAACAAATAAGATTATATTAAACTATATCTTCTGTGTAAACTGGTGGGCTGTGTGCAGGTCACTGGGATCACCTGTGTCAAAGGCAGGTAGATTTCCTGCTGCTGTCCGTCACCATCTGTTGCTCTTAATCCCACACGCTTTACCTCCCACTGTCCTCACAGAGCCGCAGGTCAATGACCGTAAAGCTGCACAAAAACACATGCTTTGTTTCACTTTGCTTTGTGTGAGATTTGACTGCAGCCAGGAGATGCTTACCGTCCATGAATGTGCTGGTGGAGGATGAGTTGTGTGTCTAAAACTTTGATGTGATCCACGGCAGAGAATAAATCAGAACGTGTTGTTCCGTTTCAGCCACAAAGCTTTCACCGTCATCCCTCCGAACCCAAAGAAAAGAAGAGAGATCCAGAGAAGTGAGTCCTCTTGTTAGTGTTTCGTCTGTGGTGTGTGATTCAAAAAGGATGGATTTCTTTATCCTTTCATGTGGGGTTTACATTTATTGTGATTTGTGATTGGTTGAGCAGAGGCGGAGGCGGAGCTCGCCGCTTTAGAGGAGCTTCGGCTGAGCAGAGCAATGGCGTATGTCTCCATCAACCCCAGTAGTGTTGGTGAGTGCGCACAAAGGAATATACCCATGTTTTATTTTCTATATTTTTCATTAGAAGTCAAATTTCAGTTTTTTTAAACAATGGCCCTATTTTTTATACATTTATTTGGGATGTTAATGACTTCTTGGAAGTGCTCCGGTAGATTAAAGCCACAAAACAGGCTGTAATGGCGGCAACATAATCCTCCTTGTAGTCAAATGTGTGCTCAAAAGTGCTTGTTTTTTCTTTTCTTTTTTGGCATCTTGCCTTTATTGATAGGACAGACTGAAGACAGACAAGAAATGTGGGGTGAGTGGGTTAGGCATGCATCAAATAATCGTAGCCAGGACTCAAACCTATGCCCGATGCACCAAGGATGACAGCCTCTGTAAATGGGGCCTGCTCCATCGACCTAGACAAACCAGTGCCCAATTAGTGTTTGTTTTGCCACTTCCAGACTTAGATTGTTATTATTCTCCTCATTTTCACCTTTCCTATTGTCAGTCTGTGAAACCTATAGAGTAGCTTTGCATAATTTGCAGCTCAAAAAACTCATTTGTCTGATACTGGCCTCAGTTAAACCCCAAATTTCAGCCTCTGCCTGAAACAATAAGTTTCAGCTGCTGTCTCTTTAAGGCCCCCTCCCCAAGTGCCCACTTTCTTCTGATTGGCCAGCTGTCCGGAAGCCTTCCAGCTTTATTGACTGTTTGTGGTTATAAAAAAGAGGATTATGCTGCATTCATGTGGTGTCGGACACATCGGAATAACGAGTTTCCAAGTTGCAAAATGCTCATGAACACCTGCTCAAGTCAGAACAACAACTCAGAAATTCGGAAAAGAATTAGGTGTCTGACTTCCCGACTTGATGTCATCAGATGGGGGGCAAAATATGTTTTGTTAATGTTAGCATACTTTTTATTAGTATTGCACATCAACTTTTTGCTCAAATATCACTTGTAACAGTAACATTTCACTGATCTTCTTCGTAGCATCAACGCTTTTTTGTGCTATTGTTACAACATTCAGACTTTCCGAACTGAAATCACGTCAACATGCTGAAGTCGGAAGACAGACTTCCCAACTCAGGACTTGGACTGAATGCAGCATTGTCCTTAAACAAAAAGGTCTATCTTTGTAGGCATCCCTCTGTAATGTTATCAGACACTTAGAATAACAATCTGAGCCTGTCAGTGACAAAAACAACACTCTTCGATTAGGAGCATGGATTTGTTACCAAATCAGCCTGTTGACTGCTCTTGTCTGAAGCAATTTACAGAAACAATTCCATGTTTTATACGTGTTAGTCAAATGTAGAATAGATTACAGGTAAAACAAAAGTATTCTCCTTTAATCAGACTGTGCAAGCGTGTGTGTTTTTGTCTGTCTTCAGGCGGCTGTATGAGTCTGGAGGAAGTACGTTCGAAGCAGCAGCAGGAAATGATGAAAGCAAAGAGGAAACAGAAGCCGGTCAGACACCTTATGACTCATTTATATTTATATTTTACATTTTAAGAGTTCAGCTAAGCTAAGAGGGCGTTTAAAGCATGATATATCAAGAATTTTACACTTCATAACGTCAACAAATTAAAGTTAGTTTTTTTGTTACAGCTTTATCTAAACTACACCCCACATTCATGTAACCAGATCCAGAATGCAGTGTAACAAGTCTTAAACTACACGTCTTCATAGTGATATTGTAGGACTTTAATATTTTCATATAGCTCCTATGAGACTGCCAGTTCAAGGGGTGACCTTTACACCCCTGTGACATCTCACCTTTACTATGACTGTCACAAAGACGTAATGGGGGGGCTGCATCAGAGGTGGAAACAGAGTGTGTGTGTGTGTGTGTGTGTGTGGAGCTCTCGCTGTGTGTGTACACGCCCTGCACTCTTGTGCTAGATAGGTCTATATCAGTAGAGATCCTTTCTGGGATTTTGTTGGACACTAAGAACAGTAGAAGAATCAAAAAGTCTGGCATTAATCCTTTAAATGTATTTTCTCTACATATGCATTTATTAAATCAGATAACTTTTTGTGCCAAAGTTGTTCATTGAGTGTTTCGGTGTTGTCGTTTCAGATCAGGACACAGGTATTGGAAGAAAAGCCTGTTCTGGAAATATAAGCATCATCCCTCCTCGCTGTATTTATTTTATTTTTTTAACAGAAAGCTCACATGGTTATTAACTGGATTAAAAACATGTCATAAAAATAAAAAAAAAAGAAAAGTCTGTACTTAACATTATTTGTATACAAAGCCTGACACTGCTTGTGTATTTTTTGATATTTAATGAAAACTTTGTAAAGAATCCTTAGGTATGTAATGTGTTTTATAATTTGCAATATATTTATTCAGGACCTATGTATCGTGATACATTTTGTTTTGTTAGGATCTTGCTATTAAACAACCCCATTTTAAACTATTGAAAATAATAAAAACAACAACAGAAAAGAAAATCCTTTTGCTTTGCCCACATGTATATACAGTACAGTGAACACTCTTTTGTCCGATTAAAGGCATGTCTTGTAAATGTATGACGTCTTTCTTACATATCGCACATATAGAAAATGATGATGGCAGAGGTTGAAAGGGATGTAAATGTGCTGTCACTTTAAATGTGTCTGTGTACACTCACATTTTTCACTACAGGCAATAATCAATCTTATTTTGCTCAACCTTTTGGTTTATTTGGCAGTTCATTCTTTCCTCTTTTTCCTCAAATGGTCTCTGCTTACACTTGAAATATATTTCAGTGCATTGCACTACATTTGGTGAAAAAAAACTGATTATTTTTAGCAGAAGGATGGTGTGCCTAAAAAAATAATTTCAACATATACTACCCCTACATTTCCCCCTTAACAAATAATCTCAACAGTTAAGGTAAAGATAATTATCTTGGGATCGATTTGAATCTTTTCATTATTCTCTCGGTTTGTTTCTGTAATTCTCTTTTCCACCAGCAGAGATCGTTTTCTGCCTTTTTTTCAGAGGTGGGGAAAGTGCAAGAAAAAAGCATAATGTTAAAATGACAGGCATGTGTTTGGACAACATTTGTTATTTTCCAGGGATAAACTTAAATTTAAAAAAGATTAAATAATGTTATCAGAGCATAGAACCTTTGATACACAGCAGTGAGATGAGGTCACAGCCAAACACAATGAACCATTGCACTGCTGTATAATAATACATAGGTTAATAACATATAATACTTTTTTTTTCATTTGGGCATCCTCATTTTACATAGAAAATAGTTGGATGACACAATTACACAGGTTAAAGGACAAGGGGCTGAATGTCAGCATCGTGCGTCTGGATCGGGCATGCATAATTAAAAATGTCATTTTAGGTGACTGAAACTTCCAAATGCGCATGCGTGAGAGATATGGCTGCATTTGAAGCAGCTGCAATTGTTTTGTATAGCCATTATTGTAGTCCAAAAGAGACGCCATTCTGTTACGCTGGTGACGCATTCACGAACTCCCCGTAAACTCAGGCTTTTCAAAGACGACTACTCAGAGACTACGGATGTTATTTTGATATCTTTTATCAGCGGTTCCTGAATCGGAGTTCATGTGTGTCATTATACAGCAAACAAATCGTATGACTTACTTTGGTAATAGGGATTCAAACATTATGAGCATAAACATAATGGTAACAAAACATTTATTTAGCCTAATGTAATTATTTATTATTTTCATATTTTGGATTTATTAAAAATGTAAGGATCACCACAGAAAAAACACTGTTTTTGCAAAAAAGTGCATCATCCTCTAATATATTTAAAAAGGAAAGGGCATGTCAATCTCAAAACATCCTCCAGAATTTTTTAGGGTATTTATTGCAGGTTGAAAAAGCCTATACATATTTTTTCAGTGATTTGTTCATTTTTAGAATAATATAAATCTATGCAACGAGTCCATATCTGTTTCTTCAAATACAAATAAGAGAAACTGTAATCAACCTTTATGACAAATGCAGCACTAAACCTTTTTGAATGAGCTTAACTCCAATTTGTCTTATACATTTTAAAGTTGTATGTTTTCTTTTCAATGTGTGATGTAACATTTAATTCTGAACTATCAAGGGAAATAGTGTCACTATTTATATGAATTGTACAATTCTTTATACTTACAAATCCTTGCTACTGTGCTGAGGTTTGATATAAAACAGCCATATTCTTATTAAATTTGCTGGGTGTTACTTTTGCACAAACAAGGAATCATGTTTATTTATAAAAAAAAAAAAAAAATAAAGCTAAATAGAAAGCAAAACTATTTAATTTTTATTCAAATAAACCTGCTAAAATAAACACCCAGAATGATATTTTGTTGTGCATTTTTTGAATTTGAATCTTTGGAATATGCATGTTTATTATGCTAGGACTACTAATTTAAATGTATCAATAAAATGTATCATCTACTTGTGTTTATTACCGTTATTAGCCTCCTGGTATATCATTTATATTTTCCATTGTTTTGTTATCTGTTGTTTGTTGATGTTCTGTGAAAAAAAGGCAACAACATTAGTATTTCAAAGTAATGATTTTAGAAAGCAACCCGATAACAACCCATATTTTATTAAATATTTTTATTGTAATTGAAAGGATATCATTTACACACGCCATGGCATTGACATACAAACGTGGATAGCTTTTTTTAAACAAGGCACTGCAATACAACAAAATATAAGTCATACAATTCGAACTAAAATAAAAAAAAAAAGTGATATCTATATATAATTCAGTAAAAGGGAATGAAACGAAATAAACACATTTATATAAAAAATAATTAAAGGTAAGTATTAAACACATTAGATTTTTGTACACAGAAATCCATTATATATTTTTTAGTTCATAATGAGCTCTGAGGAAACATTTCGCATGTCTCTTCTTAATAGGCCTACGTCATTTGTTTGCGCTTTCTTTTCTCCGTCACTAACATTTCCGACAGCCCCTGAACGCCGCGTGATTCGGTGGCTGCTGAGCTGATCTTTGTGCGAACGAAAGCGGAGCGGGTCGCAGTTAGCAACGGACAGCAAACACACACACTCCGAGCGACGACAAGACGGCGGAGGAGACAGCGTCCGGGTCCTTAAATCCACACACTCTACGGTTACACGGCGACAGAGACTGCCTAAAAAAATGGTAAGAAGACAATTCAGAGTTGAAATCGGTCGCTGAAGACGCTTGTTTTCTGACGACAATCAGTCGAGCCTAAAGCTAGCTCGCTAATGCTAAACTGTTAGCGAACTGTTTTCCTGACTCATTATTGAGCAGCCTGAGAAGCTAGGCTGCCATTTTACACCAACAACACAAGACAGCTGCTCCGTCCTGACCACTGCGGTTACCTCCACCGCAGCAGATTCTAATTCAGATGTTTTCCAAACATTACACACATTCGTAAATCAACAAAACACGCGTTCAAAACAGAGACCGTGCGGCGATTTAAAGGCAGTCCACCCCAAGCTAACGTTTACATGCGAAGCTAACTGGCTAATCGAGGGCTGAGAAGCTAATGTTGCGTAGCAGAGACTTGACACCATTTGCAGCTTAGTGTGGGATAATCTCAACAAATATTTTCAAAAGAGGTCAACGCACAGCTTCGGTGTATTTCGTGGGATGAGTTGGAGGTCTTTATGTAGTCTGAAAACACTACAGGTCGTGATTAAACTGAACAGATCGGCCCTGCTCTGTGTCGGAGTGAAGGGTAGAGATTTGAACCTGCCACAGGAGGACACCCACACTCCTGGATATACCTGGTGAAGACCTGGGCCCAGTTATTATAATGTTGTTTCTCACATTATACCTATCAGATTAAATCCAATCCCAAATCTGGAAAACCACTTGTGAAAAATGATTTAAAAATGGGATTTAGGGATGGATTTAAATTTTACTTTGGTCCGGATCAGACATTCATTAAGTTTTTGAGTTCAGAGTAGAATTCGGATCATTGGGGAAACAGGAAGTAGTAAATGAGAGTGTTAATCTCAATAATAGGCTGGATTCAAAGCGGACTAAACATCAAATTATAAAGAGGTGAGAAAATATAGTTGTATTTAGTATTCTGTGGTTTTGTCGGTCGCCCTAATGTAAAGATACATATTCATACTTTGATACTTTCTTAATATCATATCAGGGATGGGCAACTTTGGCCACCTTCATTTAATTCTCACTGCCAGAGGGGCCAAATTGTAGTATATAAAAAACAATTATGTCTCAAATTTAACTCAACATATACCAGTGATGAAATATTATTATGGACATATTTCTGTTTTTATGATTTCATGGCAGATTTTGTCATGTTTCTAATTAATTGATATTTCAAAATTGACCTGAGGGCCATGTTGAGGGTTGATGGGGGGGGCGCATGTGGCCCCCGGGCCGCCAGTTGCCCACCCCTGTATTATATGATTTAAAACTTTACATTTACAATAGTATCTAAAGTGCCCTAGCGTTAAAATAACTTTATTTAAGGGCAGGGAGATATGGACCAAATCATCTCAGTATTTTTTAGCTGAATGGCAATACACAATATATATATCTCAATATTTGTAAAGACATAACAAAAACAAGCCAGTTCTAAGTCAGATCCTCATGGGCCACCGTACAAATACCACACAGGCACTTTTATTAACAGTCAGCTGCACAATGTAAACATGTACATGAAAACTGACAGTAAAAGTAAATGACCTTTAATTCAATTAAAAACACTATATTTTATTTTATTCAAAGGCACATAAAGCAATACCATGAAACATAATGTGCAAGGTAGACTTAAATAAAAAGTAAAGTAGAATAAAGATATAAATGTACAGTGATCAGGCTGACAGCGGGAGACCAATGTAAACATAGCAATATGCAATAGAAGAATATTGAATGAGTAAGGGGATAATAGTGCAATGGAGAACAATAGCACAACAGGAACCAAATATATAAACATAGCTGGATGATGTACCTGTTCCCCTTTTTGAAATAACAAATAAATAATGAGATAAATGTTCTCCTTGAATAAGATAAAAATATATAAAACGTGATCATTTCCTGCATAATAAGATACACACAGCTGTGTTTTTTTGTTATACAGGTGTTTTTTGTAGTTGTGCTCAGAGAGGGAGAGTGGTGGAGCAGGTGAAAAGGGAAAGACAGTGAGAGGAGAAATAGGCCAACTGGTGGCTCTACAGACGAAACATAAACATTATTTTAATGCAACACAAACTATTTGATATGACCGATATTGTCTCAGCCAAAAGTTGATATATTTCCCAGCTCTATTTCATCTATTTCACATGAGACAGGTGCAACCGACAGATGAAATGAATCTATCAAAAATGGCAACCAAACTCCTACAGTCTGTCTAAATTACTAAAATATGTTAGAAATGTAATTTTGGTACCAAACCATATTTTAGCAACTTTTAACCAACCATCTACTCATCAACGATGTAAGTTTTTTTTCTCTCCACATTTTTTAAAATCACAAATTATAACAGAATATTAGCACACAGACAAAAATTATTGTTTGACAATTTCTAT